TTTTTTTTTTTCTTTTTTTTTCTTTTCTTTTCAACTTCGTTAATGACTCATGCATCTTTGCCTCCGCTTGGGTAAAGATGTGGAAGGAACCAACGGGGCCAATTTCTCCGGATGATGCATCTGCATATGTATTAACTCCTCTGAATCGGATGTGAGTATACGGCGACAATGTGGACATCTTACGAAGCCAAAATATTTTACTAATTTCTTTGCCGAACACTCTACTTCATAGGCAGAGACATTCCACTTCCATGAAGGCACTATTTCTTCTTCTTCTTCTGAGGTATCTTTCTTTTCATCATATCCTTCTTCCTCTTCTAAATGATGTTCCTCTGTAGTTTCTTCCTTTTCTCTTTCCTCATTCGGTTCCATGGGATGATGTCCATCTTTTTCCATGTGTTCAAACAACTCCCCATGTGTGAGGAATACACGAGCACAATCTTCTTCTGGGCACTGAAACACTACCAAGTGATCATCATCATCATCATCCTTATTATCCTTATCCTTATCATCTTTCTTATCATCTTTCTTCTTCCTTTTCTTCTTTTCCTCTTGGTTGGTGCTATTTGGTTCAGGAAGAGTTTCACATATGAGAGCTGCCATCTCGGGATCATCTTTATCCACCAAAACTTCAAATTCCTCTGCGGAGAGGACTTCATCTCCACCCTCACGATGTCCAGGACGTGCACGGACGAGTAAATGAATATCTTTACAATGACCTGTCGTGGCCATATGCCGCTCTACAAGATCCCAACTTACAAACAACAACACACATACAGGACATTGATAAAGAATAATATACGATTTCACTTCTTGTGGCCATGGTGGTAATTGTGGACATCGTTTAAGATATTTAGCGGCATTCAGTCCCATCACCTCAAACTTGTGTACTTCCTTAAGATTTAATTTATCCATTCGATGTACTGTCATCTCAGCAATGGTACCATAAATTCCACAAGTGAGACAATGAGCCTTATCTTTAATCGCCGTCACGTGATGATCATTACGTAAATGCTCGGCGAGTGCCAGTGGCGTGAGAAAGACAACAAGACACTCACAACAGTATTGTGGAAGTGTGAGGTGTGGTGGGTGATCCAGGCGGTAATCATCCCGCACATAAAATGTACCGAGAATACCACGATGTCCAGTAAGAGCCTCATGGCGATAGGGGAACTTGGGACCAAAGCACTTCAGCAACTCACGACACTCCACACAACGTGCAGAGTAGTGTTGTGTGGTCTCTAAGTGTTGGGTGAACTTTGTCCAGGTGAGAAATACGTTAAAACACTCCGGGCATTGAAGAATGGGTGAGGAGTTGGAGGCCGGCGGTGTGAGAGCCGTGGTGCTCGTACTAACAGTGGTAGTCGCAGGAGGACTCGTATTCGTAGAAAGAGGCGTATTGGCACTACTACTTCCACGTTGGTAGGGCCCACGCTTCATATGGGAACGAGAAAAATAAAAAAATAAAAATAAATAAATAAACAAATAAAATAAATAAATAAATCAATGCGCAAATAGAAACCAAAAAAGAAAAAAAAAACAAAACAAAAAAAAATAAAAATAAATAAACAAAACAAATGGATAAATAAAACTATAAAAGCTTCTGCGTGTTTGTGTTTGTGTAGTTAAAAGGGTATCGGGAGTATGTTTGCTTACGTGGATAAGTGTGCCTAATATGTTTCTTTGTACTTGACACACTCAAGTTGTTTAAGCCTTTGTTTATGGATTAAAAAAAAAAAATAAAAATAAAAATAAATAAATAAATAAATAAATAAATAAATAAATATATGTTTTTTTTTTGTTTTTTTTTTTTCTTTGTGTGTGTTTAGAGCTAATTGTCTCTTTGTGTCGATTGATTTATGTGAGAGGTAAAAAAGGAGACCCCACTCTTGTGGCAGCAAAGAAAGATAAGAAGAAGAAAAAAAATAATAATAATAATAATAAAAATAGTAATAATCACAACAACAACAAAAAAAAAACAAATAAAATAAGAAAAACTGAAGTAATAAAACAATAAAAATAATAACAAAAGATAAACAACAGTATCCACAAAAGGTATAGCTGAGTACTGCAACAAAAAGGAAGCAAGCATATACACACAAACACACAGATCTACATATATATAGTATATATATGTATATATATATATAAGGGTAGTAGCAAAGATCTCTCTCTCTCTCTCTAAAATAAATAAATAAATAAATAAAAAACACAAACTTCTTCGTTTCTTTCACCTCCATCAATTTCTCTCACTCCTCTCTCTAAAAATCTCTACGATACTCGAAGAGGTGAAGGTGATACCGACACATCAACCACCGATTGAGGCATGTAATCATTCACTACATACAATCGTACGGCCTCCCAGACAAGATTCTTTATTTCGCGAGTCATTCCAAATCGCGGGTACTCCTTCGCTACAAACATCCGTACATCCGGCATATTTAACGTTAACAATGGATTTGGCATTGGATCTAGAAACTTACAGATAGTTCTATACATATCTGCAAAACTGGGAAGTTCATTCGGTGGTCCAGTAGCGGCAAAATTTACTTTAAAGCGTTTGTTTACAATAACACGTGTAGCATCACTAATGACACGTCTTTTTACTGTAGATTCCCCAAAATCTTTTGTGGTATCAAACTCAATGATAAGTATTGGCTCCCCAGCTGGACCACGTTCTTCACGTATAAAAGTATTCAAACGTTTTCTACTCATTGGAGCCCGATTACCAGCTAAGGGGGATACACCTTTACTCTGAAACTCTACACTTAAACTAATTCCAACACCTGAGAATATATCTCCCGTATACCGTACCAGTCTTCCATCCTTTCCATCCATGTTTATACGCAATCTCGCAATGGGAAGCATAGCTAAATCTAACGTAATAGATTCACTGAGTTCATACAATTCATTATGAACATATGGTGAATAACCTGCACGTGGAATAGAAGCAGATGGGGTAAACTCTAATGCCCGTGCAACCAGACCCTGAGAAGAAGCCTCATCTGTACATTCCGTCCCACTTCGTGGGGAAAGCATAAGTGGCCATTTAACTCCACCCTCACAAAAGAGCCGCATGGTAACACGGAATTTAGATTCACCAATTTTACTATTTGCTCTAATAGAGGCTATTGTCGTTTTATCACCAATGGCATTCTTGTTACTACTATCTGGACCAGGAGAAAGATCAATAATAATCTTTAGAATAGTATCATCCACCACCCAACTGGTATTAGGACCAACAGATATTAATGATTTCACCAACGCCGCTGCTTCCAAATTGGCTTCTGCCGCACCACCGAAAATTCCAACGGTGAGATCTAACAATAACGGCATATCTTCAATGCGAGCAGAACGGGCCTGCGCCACGAGATAACCAACAGCTTTGGATTTGAGATTCACCAGAAGTGTGAGGAGGCGGGTTCCGCGAAGAATGTAACGAATATTCAGGGTGTCAGGGATCTCTGCCACCTCACTCATATCTCCCGGCATTAAACTCATTTCTTTTTCTTTCTTTTTTCTTTTCTTTTCTTTTCTTTTATCGTATTATTATTATTATTATTATTTTTTTTTTTACTTTTCTACTGGGTGTATGTATACTTGTTTGTGTTTGTGAAGAGTACTACTTCTCTTTCTTTTAGGGGTTCCGATGCCCGACTGGCGTCGTCTTTAGATCTCCTCGCAAGTGTACAATAAAGGGGATCGCTACAGTGAAGGCACAGGTAAACAGAAGAAAAAAAAAAAAACAAAGAAACCAAAAAAAAAAAAAATTAATTAATTAAATAATAATAATAATAACAGGAGAAGCATCAAACAGAAAAGCAAAAAAAAAAAAGAGAAATGAAATGAGGGGTTCAGTAGAAAGTATTATCACAAAACAATAGTTAAATATAAAGCCGCGCGTATAAAAGAAGATAGCCCAGTATGGCATCAGCAACAATAACAACAACAACAACAACAACAGCAACAATACCAATAACAGCGAAGAGAAGTGAATTGACTTTGAGCACATCCTTTGTTTTTGTTTTTTTTGTTTTTTACTCCTCCTCCTCAACTATTCACCATTCCTTTTTTATCCATAAGATTTATTGCTACGTTCCACCAACACCACCACAACATCAAAAAAGAAGCAATAATTAACAGTAAAAAAAGAAAAGAAGAAAAAAAAAAAACAGATTCTCTTTTTATTTAACATTCTTGCGAAGAAAATCCATTACGGCGGTTTTTACTTGTTCCTTTAATTCCCCAGAGTCATCCGCTAACTCGCCCTCCACAACTTGTGAGACTTCCGCCATAACTGTTTTAAGTGAAAGAGTGGCCAATTCTTCTTGTGTACGTGTACTGAGAATTTTAACCACCGCCTCCCGCACCGCTGCTGGTACAGTGTTTGAAGACTTTCCTACCTTACTCATATAATCCATCACCGCATGTTTTACCTGTTCTTTAATAGGTCCAGTGGCTCCATTCTCTATACCCAATTTCTCTGAGACTTCGGTAATTACTGTTTTAAGTGAGAGGGAGGCGATCTCCTCTGGTGAACGGGCATCTAATACCTTCGCTACACTTGTTACGATCTCTTCAGTAGCGACGGGTGGGGCGGATTTGTAGGCATTAAAGCTGATACTTAAACCCTTTCCAATTTCACACCAACCACCTGATGTCGCTACAGTAATAGATTTCCCAGAGGCAGAATGACCTTGCGTTTGTGTGGGATCAAATTGAAAATCCACAAGAATAGTGTCATCATCATTATCATCTTTGTTTTTTCTTGTACATCGCACAAGGAGGTTTTTAGATTTCTGTGAAGGTGCTGTAAATGAAGTATCTCCATTATTATCCTTCTTCACTTCTGTCTGTTCTTCTCCCTTTCTCTTTTTCCTGCTGGACTTCACCATAGTCGCTATGGTGATTTCACCATTAAGTGTAAAAGATGGCATAGTCTTAGTAGCCGCCGAGTCATCCTGTGTGTACTCACAGTGTACAATCGCCTGTGTTTGAGAGATCATCTCTACTTGAAATCCATTTCCCAAATCCCGCACTTCCCCGTTAGCGAGTTGTGGTGATCCCACAATAGTATTAAGTCTGTCAAGTTGCAGTTCTTTACCAATTGGGATATAACAATTCATTCCACAAATAATACCCGTTTTCGCCACCGCCTTGTTTCCACCAGTGGAGGAGAGTAAAACCGATTTGCCAGAGGATGCCACTTTATCCCCCGCCCGTGCAAAGTCCACCGCCATTTCCAAAACCCAACCCTCACTCTTACTCGCATCCTTATCCTTATCCGTCTCTTCCTTATTCTTATTCTTACCATTATCCTCTCTTGTTGTTGTTTCCTCTTCTTTACACACAGAATCGGGGCCGTGCACCCGCCACTGTGCGGCTGTGCCAAGTTCCGTCCACTCCCGCAGGGCCGCCACTCCCGCCGCGTCCAAACACCGCGCCGCTGCCGCTTTGCAGAAAATGTTGAGGCCCACGAAGGCGTTGGTGGCGCCGAGTGGGCGATTGCCGCCCGAACTCGCAATCACAACACTCTTCCCAGAGCCGCTGATGCCGTAGTCGCGTGTGAGATCGCAGAAGATGTGAAGAGTGGTGCCACGCACAGCAACACTCACATTCTTCGCACCAGCTAGCGGAACAGCATCAGGTGGTAGAGTCATAGGTCGTTAAAAAAGAATTTCTTTTTTTGCTTTTTTCCTTCTTTTTCCTTCTTTTTCCCTCTCTATATATATATAAATATTTATGTATATATGTATATATCTGAAATGAATGTGTACACCTATTCCCCTTTTTTCTTTTTTTTTTCTTTATTATTTTTTATTACGTACACCAGACCGTAGATGTACGAAAAATATCCCAGATGAAATTAACCAAAGAAGAAAATAAAAACAATAAAAAAAAGTTCAATAAATAGACTCTATTACATAATACTATTATGTTTTTTTTTTTTTTTCCTTTGCTCCGCATCAACATTGTAACCACAGTTTCCAGTGATACCACCACCATCCAAAATAAAATAAATAAATAAACAAATAACAGATACATATAAATAAAGAAAAAAAAAAAGAAGAACAATAATAACAACGCCACATACCTATAATTAATAGAGTTAACGTCTTGTCCAAGGGTATTATCTTCTTTTTTCCTTTCTTTCTTTCTTTCTTTCATTCACTCATGTTCTCCTTTACATAGATGAAACTCATAGAGAGATGTAGATAGTAACACCCTATCCTCCATTCTACATGGACATTAGCGATAGCAGTTGTTGCCCATTCACAGCAATGCTATCGGCTAAACGTTGTCCAATTTCCAACTCTTCCTCTTTCTTAAGGGCCACCAGTGTGGCAGATGTTAACATTGCGGTGGAGGCTTTTAAAGAATTGGCTTCTGAAGGTTTATTCACACTTCCTCCTCGTTCTATCTTTCCAACAGCATTGCACGTCACTGCAAAACGTGAAGGCAAAACAAGATGAGTTTCACTCTTTATAATATCACCACTCGTACCTAACAAGTCAAGAGTAATAAACATATCCACTGGACCCAAAATAGCACCATTAGAAGAGGCATTTGTTGTTTTTACCTTTTCTCTAGAAAGAAGTAATTTAGCCACAGAATATAATGGATACGGTTCATGATAACAAGCATCAATAACACCTTCTATAATCTTTAATGCTTTGAGTAATAAAAATTTCTTTGCACGCCACTCCACTAATACAGATCCACATCTTAAAGATTGAATAAGAGTTTCTATCTCAGCAGAGTATAATAAAGTGGCAGATACAGCTCCTTTTAAATTTGGAAAAGCCACCAAAACAGTAGGAAAACCATTCGATGGGGTTAAATTTTCTTGAACCGCAAGAACTGTAGAAAGACAAAAAACTGCAAAAGAAACCATATTCTCTTTTGGAAATAAAAGATTAAATAAACATGGAGTTGGTTCCATTACAGCATAAGGTTGCATTAATATACGATGTTTCCATGGTAACCACATTTCTAAGAATTCCACTCCTGTAGGAAGAATCTTGTTAATATGATCACTACTTTCATCACCTACTGTTCCTGTTCCTGTTCCTGTGCTTGTGCTTGTAGTGGTAGTTGGTGTGGTTAGTTCTCCATTTAATGAAACCTCTACAGATCTTGTTATGTAATTTCCCTCATCACGTAAATTGAATACTTGCATTAAAAATTCCATAAGATTATCCTTACATATAATTGTTGAATGTGCACGTATGGATAATGAATTGTTTTCCTGTTCCTCTTCTTCTTCTTCTAATACGAGTGCATTTCTAAACCAATGCGCTGAAGAAGGAAGATTATTTATACTTCGCAATACAACTGTAAAAATACCTGAATCCAGAGCATTTAAACAAGCTTCATTTACCGGACTTGCAGTTTTTAACCTTTCCATAATAGCAGCACAGTCTTTTCGATTCACTTCTGTTAAATAAGCTAAAAGTTTATAAAATGCAATAAGTTCTTCTAATGCTTGAGGAAGTATTTTTTGTTCTCGTAGTAATGCTTCTGTACGTGCTGCATGTTCCTTTACAGACTTGAGACGTTTCGCAATTGTATCTATACTTTCCACTATTCCAGCCTGATCAAGAACATCAATGCGATAAAAGTAAAGACCACAACAAACAGTAATATGACGACTATTATAATTAGATTGAAGTAAACCTTCTGCAGAAGTTTTCTCATTTCGAAGTACATGAAATAAAAGTTCTTCATATACTAATTGAGAAGTATTAGATGCCTTTGTAAATACCAAAAGAATACGACGAATCATATTAGCTGTATTAAAACATCTATCATCACTTCCCACGAGAGGAGTATCTGTACTTACCTCAGATGATGGAGGTGGTGGTGTAAAGTATAATTTTGTAAAAGGATATGCCGCTGCATTTGTACATTCCTTTGCAATACTATCTCGCCACCAATAATGAAAAAAAGGTTCTCGAAGAATACTCATCGCTTCCTTCACATCTACAACTAAATTAAAGTCTTCAGATTGATGTAAAACTTTTTGGGATTCATGAACCATAGATATCACGTCATCTAATAAAGATTCTGGAGGTTCATCATAGTGACGATTACTATCCAGTTCTCCTTCTTTCAAAGCCCCGTGTGGGCGTAGAGAGTTAAGATTCACCATTCGACTCTGTGCAGGGCGGGCATTGACTGCATATGCAGTACTTCGAACTGTTGCCATGCGAATAACAGTAGCAAGCATAGCCGCCGTTGCTGCCCCAACAGCATCTTCTTCTGTTGTTGAACCACTGGTGTTGATAATCTTTGTGCTTCGTTTACGGGAGGCCATGATGAGAGAGTTGCTTGGGGCCAGTCAATCAATCTCTTTTCTTTTCTTTTCTCTCCTTCTCTCACTCTATTTATTTCTATTCGTTATATATATATATATATATATATATATATATATATTATTTGTATTTGTGAGAGTATGAGTGTGGAACTCTCTTTCCGTACCAACAAGACCTCTCTTCCTTTGATTAAGTTACAAAAGAAAGATAAAAAAAAGAAAACAGAATATAAATAAATAACACAGAAAAAAAAAACTCCCGTAAATGTGATAACCACAATAGGGTCAATATTTATGAGAATACTTTTTTTCAAGTTAACAGTAAAATGTAAACAAAAAAAAAATTGGTTTGTATATATATATAGATAGATAAGCAAGAAAAAAAAAAAAAAAACATATTTTATTTCTCCTCCAGTTTTGTTGGAATGCCTGTAAGTTTATTTGTTCTTTCCCATGGAGGGTCAATGATCATATTAAGCTCCACATAACCATTTGGAGACCATGTAGTCAATACAGCAGTGAGTTCCTTTAATAGTCGCAGTTCTTCTTCCACTTCTTCACCCGTGTCGGGGTGTGGTCCCCAATTGATGCGAAATGTTAAAGCATTATCTCCAGTAGGCTTTTTCGCTTTTCGCATTTTCTTTTCACCTTCTTTTTCTTTTTCTTGTTGTTGTTCTTGTTGTTGTTGTCCTTTTTCTTTCTTTTTTCCATGTGATTCCTGTTTTGGTTTTTCCTCTTTTTCATTCTTATCCACTGCTGCTGCTGTTTCCTTTGTTGTCTCTCCTCCTTTTATATATGTAAACCGTTGTTCTTTACTCCGCAGGCTAATCTCCACCTCCTGGGCAATTTCCCGTGCGTAGAGTTTAATGCTTTCACTATTTCCCTTTAACTGTACAATCGTCACTTCCACACGAGGATTATCAAATGTCCCTCGAGTGTGAATGTCAGCATCCAAACTTCTTTTTAATGCTTGTAAATAAAAGCAAAGGAATAAACCCTCCGAAACGTCACTTACTGTACGAGCATTTAATTTCTTTACATTAGCCATTTCAACAATGGTATCAATTTCAGAAACGGAGTAAAAGAAATCTTTAGTCTCTAGATCATCCACATCTATACTACCAGGCAAAATGCGATGACGACTTTTCTTTACTATAGATTCAATCTCAAGTGCACATAATAATTGTCGATGTGCGATAATATCACAATAACGTCGAATAGGTGAAGTGAAATGTGTATACCATGGTAATGCAAGTGCATAATGACCTTTACATACCATCTCTTCTTGTCCATTTACAAAGTATTTAGCAGATTGCATAACATATTTAACTGCTACACAAACACTATCATAATTATCCGTTCCCTTTGCACTATTAAGAAGTGTTTGTAAAGATTTATTTGAACTTCCTTGTAGAAAAAGTCCTACATGAGCAAGAGATTTTCTTAATTTATTTATACTAGAAGAAAATGGTGCCCCATGACATCGTAGTAAAGCTTGTTCAGGCATATATTCTACGATTTTCTCTGCTACACGTCTATTTGCAAGTAACATAAATTCTTCCACCAACCAATTACTTTCTATTTGTTGCTCAATATTAAAACCTAATGCAAGTGAAGGGTTTGAAATGTCTTCAAACTCAAAACGTATCTTTCTTTTACCAATGGAAACTCGTCCACGCTCAATACTCATAGCTCGTAACTTTGACGCAAGTTTAAATAATGTTTGAATACTATCATTTACTCGTTCTTTAAGATGTTGTAATTTTTCAGTATCTTCTTCCCCTCCATAGTCTAGTGTGTCAAGAACAGTTAAATCACCATCTAGAATACGTTGGGCTTCTTCATATGCGAGACGACATCGATTGCGAATGACACTTTGTCCAAACCATTCAGATGTAAGTTTACCATGATGATCAAAGTGAAAAATACACGAAAAAGCAAACTTATCACTTCCTGGATTTAAACTACAGTAATCTTCACTTAATTTTCGTGGTAACATGGGAATCACTTGTTCAATAAGATAAACACTAGTGGATCGTCCACGTGCCTCCTCATCCAATGCGGAGTTTGCAGGAACAAAGTAAGAAACATCCGCAATATGCACACCAACCCGATATCCACCCGGTGTGGTGGTAATACTTAAGGCATCATCCAAATCACGTGCAGTTGAGGGATCAATACTACAGACAAATTCCTCTTCACGAAGATCACGACGTCGCATTTGTTTTAATGCCTCTTTATCCGGTACATTAAATACCTCTGGCACACATGCATATGCTTCCTCTGAAAAATCACTCATATCAATCCCATTAGCATTACAAAGAGCGAAACTGTTTGTTCGTATAGAGTCTGCTCCTCCAAGTACACGTACAATCTTACCCGTAAGGGCGTTATTTCCTGTCCAATAAGCATCTCCATTCTCTTGCGTTACGAGACGAATGTGGAAAAAATAATCATAGAGTGTTTTATGATATAATGATGGAATATCACGTCCATACACAGCAATATTTGGCATGAGACGATTAAAACTCTTAAATAAATAATAACGATTACTTTGTATCATTTCTCCAGGCGGTAATGCATTCTTCATAAGACGTGCGGCAACAAATATTGGAAGTCGTCGTTTCAGTACAGCCATCACTGTACCACGTGGTTGTTCATTTCCCCAATTGTATACAGTGGGAGCCGACAAAGATTGAGCCAATTGCAATTCTGGAGAGATTACTGTTTTCTGTGTAGTGTCTTTTATCCAAGAAGTAATAGGACGTCCTTCCGATACCTGATCCACTGGTTTCCCATCATCTTCCGGGTTTTCTTCATCAAATTCTTCATCATCTTCTTCTTCTATTTCTATTTCTTCTTCTTCTTCATCATCTTCTTTGCTTTGATCATTCGTACGGATGTTGTGGTTGTCCTCATTCTCATTCTCCTCACCACCATTATTATTATTACTATTATTATTATTATTATTATTATTATTATCATTATTATTTTCTTTTGCCCCTTTTCCACCTTCTCGTTTTCCTGTGAGGAGTCTTACAGCGACAATATCATCATGCAAGACTCGTTTTCTGTTATCCATACCATCCACCACAATATCAGATGGAAATGCAGGACTCCTGACAAATGCAAGGCCTGACATGTGATGTTTGTACACATGCAGACGTCCAATCACAACTTCTCCATTTCGTATACTTTTCTCAAGTTGAGGTTTTGATCCTAGTTTATATTGTACTATAATGTGTGTGGGTTCAGTCTTTGGCACCTCTCCCAATACACCCTCCTCCTTCTTCGATACTGGAGTAACCTGCATCTACTAGTGTTGACTATATTAATAAAGGAAGAAAAAAGAAAAAAAATAAGAATAAGAATACAGGCATTTTTTTTTTTTTTTCTGTTTTGGACGACAACTATTTCAGAATGTACTAAAAAATATATCACAATGCATTTTTTTTTTTATTTTTTATTTTATTTCAAGAGGTATAACAAAGACTTATTCCTTAATCATCTCCATCACCATCATCTGAGGAGGAAGAAGAACAGGAAGAAGAAGATGAAGACTGCAAAAAACTACTCAAAGTTTTCCCCTTGGCAGATTCAAATAATACCACTTCAGTCTTCTTGGTATTCTCTTCTACAGCATTAACATTCGTCTGTATTGGTTGATGAATATCCATACGTTCTCCCTTAAGAGCCGCCGTCACCAGTGTAAGTAAATGCCTTCGTGTATGCTGCGGTTTACCATCTACTAATCCACCCACAAGATCCCTTTCATGACTACATACATGTAATTTTCTTCGATGCCGTACAATAGCATCTGCGGTCTTCTCACTCTGCGTGATACTATTCTTCCCACACACACTATGATGAATCTGATATAAAGCCACTGGTCGCATCGTGGAGGTTTCAGATAAAAGTACAGCACGTGATGGGGGAGTTGTGGTTATTTCTTTTCCATCACCCCTCGTTGCATTATGACGACCACCTAATAGTGTATTCATCACATACGCCATCAGTTGACGTACATGTGTTTCTGGTTCACTATCTAATAAAGAGGATGTTAACGGACGTCTAACATCATTCTTTACTAGAGTATCACTAGTAGTAATATGATCTCTCCCAGTTATGTTATGTGTATTATTTCTCTCCGATCGTAACTTTTTGCGTGTGCGTGTGTCTGAGAAAAGTACATTCTCCTCCGTAGTATTATCAAGAGCACTAGATGCTGTGGATGCGTTTCCCCGCTTCTTTGCCCGCGTCAACCACCGTTCACTCGCCTCAACTCCCGCAGCAGAGGCTGTCGTTGTTGCTAACAGCATCTCATTTACATCACCTTCATTCATCTGCAAAAAAACAACTAAATGGAAACGAAGCAAGAAAAAAAAAAAAAGAAACTCAATGAATATAAATAAGAGCAGTAACAAAAAAAAATAATAATAATGCTTGTATCCTCCACGAATCCGAACCACAACGTGTATAATAAAAATCTCTCTAGTATTACCAAAAACGCTTATATCCTGAAAAAATACTAAAAACCAAAGAAATAAAAGTATGCTGAAAAGCCCTTTTAACCAGCCTTCCACTCAAGGCGGTAAGGGTTCGGTTAGATAGGCTTTCATAAAGTTACGTTTCACAAATTGTCAAATTAAAAAAAGGTTGATAATACTGCTCTACAAAGAAAAAAATAAACAAAATACTCAGGTACCTTCTCCATAAGCATGATGGCCTCCAATCGATCCTCTTCTCCAGTTCTGTACACTTCAGCTGCAGCATCAGGTTGTGTGCCCCACTTCGCCAGTCAGTCACGGCAATGATGGGAGTGACATTATCAGCAGGAATGAAAGGAGCATCAACTCGTAGACACGCTTCCAACAACTGAGATGTACGCCACCATACCACTTTCTCCTTCTCTAATGCTCTTTCCCCACATTCATCCAATGCGGTGTATGTCTGACGCTGCTGCTCTAGTCTAACAGACTCTATTCGCAATGCTTCTAATTGTTGCCTCAAGGCATTTTTCACGTGTGATGCCTTGCAGACGCATTTCGTGCATCTCGTGCCGCACAGCTGTTTTTAGGCGTGTGAGTCGCTCAATCTCACGCAACAATGCATCTCGACACCGCTGCTCTTTCATACTCAGTAGCAACGGTTCCGGCTGTTGTTGTTGATTCTGTTGTTTGTGTAGATGTGGGTCACTATCAGTGTATGCACATCCTTTGAAGTGTGACTGCACACACCATTCCCATTCACAGTCCTCACTTCTTGCGGCTAATTCCATAGCGTAAAGAGACTGTCGGGCCATAGACTCTTCCTCCTCCAGGGAATTCTGCAGTATGTCTCTCCATTTATCCGTCTCTTCCCATCCAACATCAGCACAGGGTTCACATTACGTTGCAGCAGCAACAAAAACACGCAATCGGAACAGGTTCACTGATAGGAGTAGTAGATCTTGGCGCATCTTCATCACAGTCATACAAAGTGGACATTGCCTAAATAGACTAGACTACACCATTAAAAAATAAGAGCATATTGAGAAAAACACAAAACAAGAATAAAATAAACACACAAACATAAACATAAACAAAACAAATCAACTAGCAAGAAATAAACATAAAAAAGAAATAATAACTCTCAGGGTGTCCAATTAAAGTAAAAAAAAAAAAAAAAAAACACAATTCCCAGTATTAAACAGAAAATCCCAATTAACTCTGAAAGAAAGATACATAAATAATTAAAATTGCGACCAACAAGAGCAAGAAACAGACAAATATATAGCTCTTGATTGGGTGGTCCACATATATAGCAAAGAATGAAATTATGTGTAACAGTTATTATTTCTTCCCTCTGCAAAAAACAGAATACCAAAACGGTACGGGTCAAAACGCACAACGACCCAGCAAACCACAAGCAAAAAAAGAAATAAATATTTGTGCCCAAATTTACCAACTATGCTCAGAAATACACCAACTATGGGTGTAAGTCTATATATGTGTGTGTATATACGCAATTATAAATATATATTCATCTGTTATTATTATTTCTTTCCCTTTCACTGCAAAAAAAAAAAACGTTCACTATCATTATCACAGTACAAGCCCAGGTGCACACACAGAGAGAGTATCCAACAACACACACATAATGGAGTAGCAATAATAATAATTATAGGATAAACATAGAGAGCAAAAACACAAAAAGCATTAACATTAAGAAACAAAAAAGTAGAGAAATCCCAACAGGTGGTAGATTAGTTAGACTGTAGGAATGCATGCAAAAAAGAAAAGAAAACAAAGGATGACCTGAGTCACACCACCATCATTACAATCAGTACACAAGAATACAGGCCAGTGTAACCACAATCAGTAGTGGCACACGCATCCACAAAGAACTGCTGATACTGCTGCTGTCTGCGTTAGCATTCTTCTGCACTGTGGAGGCAATGTTGCTGATCTGTGGGTCGGTTGTAGGTACAGGAGGAAATGTTGTTGTTGTTGTTGTGTTGGTAGTGGTGTTGGTGTTGGTGGCGTTAGTTAATTCCTCATTACTGGTTGTATTTTCGGCATCATTTGTGATGTTTGTCACCACACTCTCTGCAGCATTAGATTCATTGGAAGTCTCCGTGAGAGAATTGTTGGTGGCAGATGATTCCTCATTATTGGGTGTGATGGCATTGTTGGAGTCCATGTTTGCTGAGCTATTGTTCTCAGTTGTACCTACAACTGCATTGGGTTGGGTAGCGGAAATACCGTCGCTGGACGCGGCAGCACCAGAAGCACCAGTTTCACCTTGCTGCCTTTGTACGGTCGATACCACTTCTTGACCAGTTCCATCAACGTTCTTGTTCAATGTAGGAATCTGTGGCGTTGTCGGATGATCACCCGGTGCACCAGCATCATGAGCATCAGGAACAGCAGGAGGAACTTCAAGAGATAATTTACCACCTTCATGACCATGTGCAGCAGCAGCACCACGAGCAGCTTCATCAGACAATACACCACCTTTTTGACGAAGGGAAACATTTGCACCGTTTTCCCCTCCCAACTCAGTGTTTGCTTGTGCTTGTACTTGTGCTTGTGACATTGTGGGATGAACACTGGACGTTTCTGACCCAAACGGTCTAGAAACTAAGGACGCAACCGATGTTTCTGCAGGAGGTTTTTCACAATCGACACCCTGAGATTCCTTTTTACATTCTGCAAGTTTCAACTTATTCTCTGATTCTTTTTTTTTAACGTCTTCAACACTCGCATTCGACGGTAAGCCAAGCAAAAAACGCGAAACAACTGCGACTTCAGGACTAGCATAGGGATCAAAATCTTTATTTGGTGTTTGACCAGCAGGAAGTTCAGCTGACGGCATAAGCGTTGTTTCTCCTATGGCTGCTGGATGTGCACCTTGCGAACGAACCCCTTCTGCTGCTTCATCTGCTGGAAGTTTTGTGGTACTCTTGTTCAGCTTAACCTGCCTTTCCTCTGCTTCTTCTTTGGCTTTTTTAACATCATCGGCAGTTGCACTCAGCGATAAGTTATGTAGTAGCCGAGAAGCAATTGCGGAATCCGGAGAACCCATATGAGCCATCACTGCCTTTGGCTGTCCAGCAGTAGTAGTGTCAATGGTTGTCCTTGTTGTTGCTCTTGGGATACGCTGGCGGCACGTGTCTGCGTACTTCACACATGCAGACACAGAGCTGCCCGCACCGCATGTAAGCCACTCGCTCTCACCAGCGGGGCGTACACGCAGCGCA